TTATTGACTTTAACATCCTTAGGTAAATTTGGCAGCTTTGCAATCAAAGCCCCTTCCTTTGGCAAAATAAACGTATGGACCCTTTGGTAATGGGACTATCTCAGACTTAGCCTTTCTCTTTTTATCGTTGAGCTCCTATTAATGAGATCTTCATTTCTCATTTAGGTTGCATCGGCCAAAAATTCAGCTCCTATTAATGAGATGTTCATTTCTCATTTAGGTTGCATCGGCCAAATATTAATCGATCTAAAATTCGAATTCCGGGTTGTGCTATTAATGTTATGCCAAATCTTAGAAAAATCATAAATTCCTCATACGAAGTCATATTCGGGCATTCTTTGTATGCACGCTCTCGGTTTAGCGTATACTACAACTTTCGTTTAGATCGCTAAGGCTAAAAAGTAATTTATCAAAAATTCACTTTTTACGTTACACGGTGTCATGCCGGTTTTGCCGTAAAACTCCGACGAGTCATAACTTCTTCGTTATAACTCGGATTTCGGCGTTCTTTATATGTACGCAACCCTTGTGACATATACTATAACTTAGTTAAGATTGTTCCTTATAAATAATATTTTATTAAAAAGTCATTTCTGACGCTTATTGTCTCTAATTTGACTAGCCCGAATCTATGGGCGTTACACTTCTGGACCGTCGTCGGTCTCCACAACGATCAACTGACAACCTTCATCATCGGTGTTATCATTACAACATCATCCAACTTCTTATCCTCGATGCAAGAAGCAAAGAAGCAGATCAGACAGATAAGGCGTCGGAGATGAATCGTCGTCGTATGCACCACTTCCGACACTGTGTTCGCTACTTTTGCTTACATACACCAGTTCCAGCCTATCACGATCGACGATCTGGTCCTTGACTCGGTCATCCAGAAAGGTCTGTAACTCGTTTCGTTGTCGCAAAAAACGCCATTTTTAGAAGAAATTTGTACTGTAAGTCTCGCTCTTAATTTTTATCCAAACAATTTGATGTAATGGAAAAATTAACAAAAAGGATAGCAAATGCACAGTTTGCTGGGAATTGATTTTTCCAAAATCAATTCTTCAAAATTTATTATCAATAGAGCCATGGTACCGATTTTCTACGTTGGGCGTCAAGCGATTAAGATATATATTCATCTATGGATCACAGTGACGGTAATTTTCCTATGTACGATTAATTTTTCTAATTTTTATTGATTCCTAAATCCAAATCACATTCATCATCTCCATTGTTCTTCCTAAATGTTGTTCGAAGCCACGAAATAGGAATTCCACTAAGCATACATCAATACAAGGTCTTTTTTTATCACCTAAACATAATTGACTTTCATATTCTTCATTACATTACATCAATGCTTTTAACTTATTCTTAGTTTCTTACATTATAAATTCTGATTGGTCGATTGGTTGATTGTTTCTTTTTTAGGTTTATTATGCAGGAAGTGGTTATCATGCACTGAGCTTGTTCAAAGCTGACAGTATCATCAATAATACATTATGCTACTCTCCTTGAAATTTTACTTGATAAGTTTGTGGTAACTGCTAAATTTTATTATATTATTTACTATTTATAATATTGATACAATTTTAATGATTACTGACTTTTTTGGGATTTCAATTAAAGTTGTGCATAAGCATTTCTTATGCTGTTGTTGTTGCTCATGTAGATCAGACTACGAGGCGGACATTAGTTGTTATGCTTGTTGAACATGAACCTCTCTCCTCAAAGAAGGTTTAGGGTTTATTACTTATATATAAAGTTCAAAAATACAAGATATGCAAAACTGAATGAATGATATATATGACTGAATATGAATATATGATCCATACCACTTTTTTCGGGTTCTTCTGTTATTAGGAATTGTGGAAGAAAATGAAGCCCTTACAAAGGCAACTGGAAGTGGTGATACTGATCTTGTTTATCTTGTTCTCTTTCATATATGGCAAAAAGTATTGTTTTCTTATTTTCTATACACTTCCATTGTTATAATACTTGATTAATTATAAAACGCTAATTGATTAAACAATCTCTTTCAAGAAAAGTTTTTTTTGAATGAATGTTTGTCATCAGATGATCATATATTAAGGAATCTGCTGAATGGACCAAGTTGGAAATCTCTCATGCAATTTTCGTTTAAGTCTCAGCATGCATATGGTTGGTTTAGGTGAAGTCATATCATCACCAATCCATTCACATGTAAATCACATATGAAGTACATGTGATTCACATGTAAATCACAAGTGAATCACATATGAATTACATATGATTCACATGTAATTCACATATGAATCACATGTAAATTACATGTGATTCACTTGTAAATCACATGTGATTCACATATCAATCACATGTAGATCACAACTGAATCACATATGAATTACATGCGATTCACATGTAAATCATATGTTATTCACATATGAATTATGTCTATATGCATACATGCATTTTGAGTGAGTGTTCTTTGTTTTTTTTTAATTTTTCTTGTGAATTTCACATTTAAATCTTAAAAGATACAATCACATGTGAATATCACATTATATAATCACATGTGAATCTTACATGATATAATCACATGTGAATCTTACATGATATATACCTATGCATTTTGGTGAGTGTTCTTGGATTAATCTTTTTTTTTAATTTTCTTATAGATTTGGAAGAATTTGTGGAGAATATTAAAGAGGTGAAAAGTGATAAATTGAAGAAAATATAGAAATCTTGACACGAAGACATGAAAACGCTTTGTAATTTTGTAGCATTTTTTGTTTTTTATATTTTATTTTGTATCGAATAAAATATTTGTACTATTGTGTTTATAGATTAGTAATTAAAAATAGTTTTTTATGATTTTATTACGAATAATATAGTATAAGAAATATGCATATATGCACATAAAACGTTGATTTTTTTTTGTTAAAATAGTTACAGTTTTTTTTAAATATTCCAGGTTTTTTTTAAAAAAATTATTGTTTTTTTTAAATGTAGTTTAAAAAAAATATTATTTCATTTTTTTTATTAAAATTCATGTTTTCTTAAAAAAATTAAAAAATCTGTATTTTTTAAAGAATTGAAAATAATTACTTTTATAAAAAAGATCCAAAATTTTGATTTATTATGTTAATTTTTAGACATTTTTATTAATATTTCCAATAATATAAAATATTAAGCATTAAAGGAGATTGATAAGATGACAATCATGCCCTTAATAAATTAATATTGATCTAACGCTCCACCTTAGTTTTCGAAAAACTATGAGTACTCAACAGATCT